CATGCAGGAGGCAGCCAATCAATGACTCTTTGTCGTCATTGATGTTCCTATCTCCCTCTCCCAGCCTCTCTCTGAAATCAATAAAGATATATTTAAAAAGAAAAAATATATATATATTTTTTAAATAAAACACATACTGACAATGGTTAATATTAGTGTGTCTATCTTAAAAGTTCACATTGTGATTTTTTTTTGCATGTCCTAGTAAGAACAGTGATCCTGTTATCATGAGCACACTCTTGAAACCAGGGGCCACAGCTGCTGGTTGGTGTCTCACACAAGCCGCAGTGCCTGATTGATTCCTGCACTTTAGTTCAGTGAGAGAGTAATTTGTAGGTGGCACGAGGAAGCAGTGGCGGTTTTTTAGGCAGCTCACCTTGTAGTCTTAGGTCCGGCTGCAGTTAAAGCCACCCAGAAGTGTATGGGAGCGGGCTGGCTAACTCCCATCTTGCCATTGCACCAGCCTTTATAAATCAAAGTGTGCACGCTGCGCTTTAGGCTGCTCCTAAGGAAAATCCAGCAGGCTCTGCAGTGTATAGTCTGTGCCGCAGCCCCCGCAGCAGAAGGTGGGAAGGGAGGGTTTGACCTGGGTTCTTTGGTAGGACACCTACCCAGGTGGGTTTGGGTCTCCAGGAGATTTGTGTCCAGTCTACAACAGTGCTTCCCAGATTCTCTGTAGCGAAGAACCGGTCATTTGGTTTTTAAATTTTAATCTCTCATAGGCCAATTAAAAATCCAGTAAAAGTTGTTATAATAAAAATGTAGACACATAAAATATAAGCCCATTATCTTACTATGAGAGTCAACAGACACAAAGCCACTGTGTCCAATTGCTGCAAAAGTTTCTAAACTCTGACTTTTGATTCTCTACTTATCTTTCACAGACAATCGAAACTAGCGCGTGGGCTGCTTGGCCACAGACCGCCCCAGTCCTGTCACATCTAGCTGTAAGGTGGGTGCTTTTCTATTGAGATTTTGAAAACTGGTGGAAAATGTAGCTGAAAGAGAAAGCTGGCAGCCAGCACTGACAGAACACCCCAAACTCTGTGAAATGGTTTGAAATCCCTTAGCTTGGACCCGGCTCTCGCTTAGGAGGTTATCCCGCCCTGCTTTCTTTCACTCTTTAGTAGGGATATATGAGATTTAAAACAGACAAAAATTTGAAATGTACGAAATTAGCCAGAAGAGATTATCAAACTCTGTATTCTCATCTCCTCATGGGTGAGCCTGTTTTTTCTGCCCCTCTAATCCCTGGGGTCATTTTAACCCAAATTCCAAATATCCTTTATTTTTTTGGTCAGTTTTTCAGTATGTGTTTCTGAAAAAGTTGTTTTAAACAACATGACCACGGGACCTTTATCACATCTGACAAACAAGCAATGATTTCTTAACATCCTCAAATTCCCAGGATCTAGATAAGATATGTGATTGTCTCACGGTCTGTAGGTTTTCCTCGATCTCTGTCTTGTTTACTTTTCACTTAAATTTGTTGTTCAGGAAATGGGTGGAGTTTCCTATAGCCTGGATTCTGCTGGTGGGGTCCTGGGTATCCTTCACATGTTCCTCTAGCCTTTGTCCTCTGAATCGGTGGGTGGATCTAGAAGTGTGAGCAGATTTGGGTTTGAGTTTTTTGGCAAGGATATCTCATAGGCATTTTCCCGTTCAGACCTGTCTCGACTTGAAGGAGAAGTTGTTTGCCTTGTTAACTGTCTCCTATGTATGAAGTTACTTGGTTGAGTGAGGCCCAAGCTGATCCTCCGCTGGTTCTGGGCCCCCCTTCATCCTGAGATCACCCAGCTGCTGTGCAGAGAGCAGATTGTGAGGTAAGATGGGAAGGGGTTGTGATATCAGGAACACTACTAAGATGCCCTTGGAAGGATCCCAGCACGAGGTGATGCTCGAGATGGAGCCTGATCAAGGCAGGATTCCATGGGGTGGACAGAGGTGGGCAGATTCAGCAGTTTTGGCCCCACCCCTTTTAAGAGAAGTCACCACTCCCCTGTGCCTCAGTTTCCATGTCTGCCTCCTCTCCTGAAGTGAAAAGTGTATTTTTACCTGCCAGTCACATAACAAGTATTTATTGAGCACCTGCTGTGTGCCTGGCCCTGGACAGCTGGGAGCGCCCTCCCCCGTTGCTGACTGTAAGTGAATAGACATGGTTGCAGCTCTGTGGACAGGCCCTGTCAGGCAGAAATCTTGGTAACTTGTGGCTACTAGGCCACCAGGCTTCTGGTGATCTCTGGGTCCCACACTGTGCCTGGCCCATAGGCACAGGGACAGGTGTAAAGGCCAAGTACATCCAGGGACAGTCCCAGCCTCGGGCCACCAAGAGCCTCGATGATATCATGAGAACCTGAGTTTTGTGTTTGGTCTGCTAATAGGGTCCTTTCTGTGGACGGTTCCATTTTTTACTGCACCATCCCTGCTGGCAGACAGGTTTTTATCATTGTCTGCCAGCATAAACAACTCAGGACAGACCACCCTGCTTGTTTGTCACAGTTGTGTAGAGCTGTCTGTTGGTTAAATTCCTAGAAGGGGGATCGCTGAGACAAAGTGCTACACCTTTAAAATCCTGATGCATCCAGTGCCTTCTGGAAGGTTTCACTTGCTCCCCAGCAGTGCCCAAAGCAGAATCATTATCACTGGCCTCGCCTTGCCTCACCTGCCTTGGCTGAGCTTCTCAAAGGCTGAAGCAGGTCTGTGCCTTATTTTGCATGCAGGCCTGGCTGAGATTGTGTTATCCCTCTCCAGGGTTCTGTCCTCTCTTCTTGGGGGACCAACAAAAGCCAGGACTTTAGTGGCTAAAAGGAGCTAACTCCACCCTAGTACACTGCACTGGCCAAAAGCTAGAAAGGAAACATACACACACACATACATGTGTGGGTGTGCGCACACGTACCTGCCCAGAAGTTGCGAAGAACCCTTTTCAAAGGCTATTTTCAGAAAGTTTTGCCAGTTCCCCAGCTGTGTGACTCTGAAGAGGTACTGTGTCCCGAGTACAGGAACTCCTGAGATGGTGGGTAAGCATTCTGTCACAATTCTTTTGCAATTTGAGTCTACCAAAATTATCAGACTTGTGCAATTGGTCACAAGCTCAGAATTACATGGAAATCTGTCGTGTTGTACTTGAAATTCTGACCATGAAATTTGGCAAATTTTTCAATACAGATCTTCAACTGCTGATTTGAGAATTTTAAATGAGAATTGTTAGTTGCTATAAAATACTATGGTGATGAAAGCCGCTAGCAATAATCAGTAGGGCGTGGTGGCCCCTACATTTGTTACCCCTCATTTATTTATTTATTTTTTTATCTTTATTGTTGAAAGTATTACAGATGTCCCCCTTTTTCCCCCATTCACCCCCTCCACCCTGCATCCACTCCACCCCCAGGCCTTCCCCATACCAATGTCTGTGTCCATAGATTATGCATATAAGCATATCAGTTCTTTGATTAATCTCTCCCCACCCACTCCCCAACCTCCGCCTTGCCTCTGAGGAAAACAGTATGTAGTTTCCTCAGAAGATTAAAAATTGAACTGCCATTTGACCCAGTGATCCCACTTCTAGGAATACCCAAAACACCAATCAGAAAGAACTTATGCACCTCTATGTTCATAGCGCAATTTATGATAGCTAACATCTGGAAACAGCCCAAGTGCCCATCAGTAGATGAGCAGATAAAAAAGCTGTGGCACATTTACACCATGGAATACTACACAGCTGTAAAAAAGAGGATCTCTTATCCTTTGGGACAGCATAGAGGGAACTGGAGAGTATAATGCTAAGTGAAATAAGCCAATCAGAGAAAGACAAGTACCACATGATCTCACTCATACGTGAAGTGTAATAAAATAAACTGATGAACAAAATGGATCCAGAGACATGGAAGCTTGTAACAGACTGTTACCCCTCATTTAATGTCATCTCTGCACTCGATTCATCTGCTGTGGTCACCACTGGCATTGAGGGTGGTGGCCTTCATATGACCAGAGCCTTACTTCCCATAGGGGCAGCATGCCCAGCTCCGAGCTGACCGGCCGGATGGAAAGTGTGGCTTGATGGAGCTGCCCTGTGCCCCGGGAAGTTGAGTGTGGCGTGAGGGCCTTCTCCCCTTTACTGGGAGGCAGGGCAGGTGGACATCTCCTCTCCCCCATGCATGGTGATTGGCTGAGCCCCTTCCTCACCTGCTCAGAGCCACAGAAGTGGAGAGACAGAGCCATGGTTGGTCCCAGGAAACAGGGTGGGTCAGGGCTATGGCACCTAGAGTCAAAAGGAAGCCTTGGATGTTCAGCCTCCACCCATGGTTAGGACTCCCCCATTTTACACACACACATTCTCTCTCACTTACTCATTCACTCAAATGAACACACATGCTATCCTGTCCTTCTCTGGTCCCATGCCTCCTACCCCACCCCACCCCACCCCTCACTTTCCACACTGCCAATGCCAGGGAGCTCCTTCCCTGCCCAGGAAAATGGAAAGGGCTTTTCCCTGTGACTCCTTAAACTCCCCCCCTTCTCCATCCCCAATGGTCACTCTGTCCACCCACCCAGTCTTAGAGCCTGAGGGAGAACTGTGCTAGCTAGGTTTAAGGGGTCCTTTCCCTAAGGAGTTTTCTTTGGGTAGCAGCCCCCCTCCTCAGCCCCATCCTTCCCCCTTATTCCTGCTGTATCCAGTGAGTATGTATAAATCCTGCCACTTCCCAACACTATGGGCTCAGTGTGCCAGGAGCCTGAATGAGTCCTGAGCTCCCCCCAGCCCAAGGCCTGGCTTCTGAGGGGCAGGGGAAGGCAGCCCTTCTCTCAGGGGTCTCAGGAACAACAAAATGTTGCTCTGGGGCTGGAACCTCCTTTAGGCCTGGGCATCAGGATTTCTGGGGGGAGAAGAGGAAAGCCTACCCCACCCTGGCCATGGAGTGGGGTGGAGAGCTGGGCCACATACACCCCCAAGAAGGGGAACAGAGTAGGCACTTGCCCTGGGTTCTCCTGTCTCCATTATTCAGCAAATCCTGGACTGAGGATTTTGGCAGGCAGGGGAGAAATTGCAAAGACACCTGAGGAAGTTTCCTCTCTGTAGAAGTGGGAGCCAGACAGATATACCCCAGTTTAGTCCATCCCTGCCCAGTCCCATACTTGCCCAGGGGCTGGAGAGATCTGTGCCTAGTTCAAGGCCACACCCAGATCTTTGAGAATAATTAAAGATCCCCTCCACATTGGGGTGTGCCGGAACTGGGTGTTGGAGGAAGAGCTGTGATAAGAGGCGAGATGTGGGGATGATTGGGGCCAAGCAGCATAAGTGCCCTGGTGCCATCCCACAAGGAAGGGGTTAGTCTTCACTCCTGTGCAGTAGGCTCGGTGCCTCCTGGTGAAGCTACCCTTGTGGCTTCCTAGTCCTATTAGCTATAATTATCAATTATTTCAGACCCACAATAAAACTGTTCAATAAACATACATGTACCTGTCACCTAGATTAAGAATTAAAGAATGGCAGGTGCAAGTGAGAACACCTGGATATATTTCCCTACTCAGAGGTAACTACTATCCTGAATTTCTTTATACTTTTCTCACTGTTAGATTTGAATCGCATAGTAATACCTGGAATTGTATTGCATGTGATGTGGGTATATTTGCAATTTAAAAAAATTGTGGTAGCCTGGCTGGGCGTGGCTCAGTGGTTGAGCATCAGCCTAGGATCCAGGACATTGAGGTTCGATACCCGGTCAGGGCACATGCCCAGGTTGTGGGCTTGATCCCCAGCAGGGCGCATGCAGGAGGCCGCCGATCAATGATGACTCTCTCGTCATTGATATTTCAACTCTCTCCCTCCCTCTCCTTTCCTCTCTCAGAAATCAATAAAGATATATTTAAAAATAAATAAATAAAATAATTGTGGTAAAATATGCATAACATGAAATTTACCATTTTAATCAGTTTTAAGTGTACAGTTTAGTGACATTAAATATAAAATACATTCACAGTGTTGTACAACCATCAACACTGTCCATTTCCAAAACCTTTTATCACCCCAAACAATTCTGTACCCATTAAACAGTAACTCCCCATTCCCTCTCCCCACAGCATCTGGTAATCTCTAACCTGCTTTCTGTGTCTATGATTTTACCTCATAGAGGTGGAATCACACAATAATTGCCCTTTCGTGACTGGCTTGTTTCACGTAGGATAATGTTTTCAAAGTTCATCCATGTGTAGCATGTGTCAGAATTTAGTTCCTTTCTTAGGCTGAATAATATTCTATTGTGTCATCTGTTGGACATTTGCATTGTTTCCACCTTTTCGCTATTGTGAATTGTGCTGCTAAAAGCCTTGTTGTACAAGCATTTGTTTGAGTCGCTGCTTTCAGTACTTTTGGGTATATACCTAGGAGTGGAATCGCTGGGTCATATGGTAGTTCTATGTTTAACTTATTGAGGAACCACCGTTCTGTTTTCCACAGTGGCTGTGCCATTTTACATTCCTACCAACAGTGCACAAGAGTTCCAATTTCTCTGCTTCCTTGTCAACACTTGTTATTTTCCTTTTTTTTTTACTATAGCCATACTGATGGGTGTGAGGCCATATCTCATTGTGATTTTAATTTGTATTAGTGATGTTAAGCATCTTGTCATATGGTTATTGGCCATATATGTATATCTTTGGAGAAATGTTTATTACAGTTATTGGCCCATTTTTTGTGTTGGGTTGTTTGCTTTTTGTTGTTGTTGAGTGATAGGAGTTCTTTCTATATTCTAGATGTTAATCCTTTATCAGATATATGATTTGCAAATATTTTCTTTCATTCTTTGGGTTGTCATTTCACTCTCTGGATGAGGGCCTTTGATGCACAAAAGTTTTTAATTTTGATGAAGTCCAGTTTATCTGTTTTTTCTTCTGTTGCCTGTGCTTTTGGTGCTTATCCAATAAATCATCTCCAAATTCAATGTCATAAAGATTTTACCCTATGTTCTCATGTAAGGGTTTTGTAATTTTAGTTCTTATATTTACATCTTTGATCTAGTTGAATTTTTGTGTATGGCATAAGGTAAGAGTCCACATTTATGCTTTTGCACATAGATACCCAGTTTTCCTAGCACCTTTTGCTTAAACGATTGTCTTTTCTCCATTGAACAGTCTTGGCACCCTGGTCAAAAAAATCTATTAACCATCGCCCTGGCCAGGTAGCTCAGTTGGATAGGGCATCAACTGGATACATCAAGGTTGCTGGTTAGATCCCTGGTCAGGGCACATACAAGAAGCAACCAATGAATGCATAAATAAGTGGAACAACAAATCTATGTTTCTCTCTTTCTATCTCTCCCTCCCCCCCTTAAATCTAAATTAAAATATTTTTTAAATCTATTAANGGAAGCAACCAATGAATGCATAAAAAAGTGGAACAACAAATCTATGTTTCTCTCTTTCTATCTCTCCCTCCCCCCCTTAAATCTAAATTAAAATATTTTTTAAATCTATTAACCACCTATGCAAGGGTTTATTTCTGGGCCCTCTATTTCATTGATCTAGATGTCTCTCCTTATGCCACCATCATACTGTTTTGAGTACTGTAGCTTTGTAGTTGAGTTTTGAAATCAGAAAGTTGAGTCCCACAACTTTGTTCTTTTCCAGGATTGTTTTGGCTACTTAGGGTCACTTCAGATTCCCTATGAATTATAGGATGGGTTTCTCTATTTCTGAAAAACAAACAAACAAGAACCACGACTGTTGAGGTTTTGATGGGATTACTACCTTGAATCTGTAGATTGCTTTGGGTAATAATGTCATTTTAACAATTTTAAGTCTTCCAATCCATGAACATGGGATTTTTTTTCCATTTCTTGACGTCTCCTTTGTCAGCAGTGTTTTATAGTTTTCAGTGTCAAGTGTTTCAATTCCATGGTAAAATTTATTTCTAAGTATTTTATTCTTTCTGATGTCATTATTAATGGATTTTTTCCCCCTTAACTTCTTAGATTGTTCATTTTTAGTGTGTAGAAATGTAGCTGATTTTTGTGTGTTGACTTTC